GGACCTCATATCAAGAGATACCACGTGCATTCAAGCCATGGCAACAAATGACATGGCGTGAAAGAGGGCGGAATTGGCAATTTTATTCGGTTTAACTCTGCTTTTCAGATGAGAAAATTTGAAAAAAGAAAAGAGAAGAAAAAGGGGTCGCTAGGGAGTAATTGGCAAAGAAGGAAAGGGAAGACGAGTTAGATAGGATAGGATTTAAGAAGGGGGGGGGGAAACCATCCATAATAAACTTCATGTGCATTCATTAATCAACGTGAGCGATAGGAAAATAAATACAAAGGAAAGGCAAAAGCATGATTCTTGTGCCTTACCATCCAACACTCTTTTTTCCTACAAATTCAATGCATTAGTAACTCCTCCTCCCTCACCATTGTACCAAAATTACCATTTTCTCCTCTCTTTTTTGCTTTCGTGACGTAACTATTTCATATAAATTATTGTTTATTAAAATAAACAATTGCTATTAGAAGATGAATAAATGATAGTATAAGAAATGCAGGGCGAAAAGAATATGGTTGAAATTGAATTAAATGGATCTAATCATAATCGATAAATTAAACAGTTCAATTAATATGATTAAATCAGATTTTTGACTCCTTATCGACCACACCCAAATAGTTGAATCCGTGAGTCCACCGGTCATTACCGGTCAGAGTCACCGGACAAACCAGTTCATCATTTTTACATCTTTTAAATTTGGGATATAGTCTAGTAGTCATAGGCCACATAGCGTAGCTAAGAGAGAGAATCTAAAATGGTATGATGCCAGCTACGAGTCTGAGGGACCAAAGCTTTCACTGAGGTCAAAGCTGGCAATATCCTTTATTATTATTTTTCTTTGTTCTCTCCACTACCTTCCCTTCCCTCATTTACTACTCTCTGAAGTCTGAATCTTCATTTCAATTTAGATATAAAACCAACGTTTTCTCCATTCTCCCCACCTCACTTTCCATTTTCCCACTGTTCCTTTCTCTAAATTTCTCCTCATATATATGCATGCTCTGGGAACAAGGAAATAAAAGTGAGACAGAGGGTAATGGTTGATCTTTTTATTTGATTATTCTTCAGCAAGGAATTAAAACGGCCATGGCTGTTTCTCCATGTTTAGGTGTTAATGATCAGAAGAAACACTGGTGGGTTAGCAATAGAAAGGTAAAACAAAAAGGAAAGTCATCCGTCTTTTTATGCAGCTTCTGCAAAGATGATCGTTTTCCTGAAATATTTGTGTTCTTTGTGCAGCTTGTGGAAAAGTATGTAAAGGATGCAAGGATCCTCATCGCAACGCGAGAACAAGACGACATCGTTTCCGCTCTTAATCTTCTGGAAGCGGCATTGGCTGTCTCGCCTCGTTTAGAGACGGCTCTTGAACTCAAAGCTAGGTCTTTGCTGTACCTGAGGCGTTTCAAGGACGTTGCTGATATGCTGCAAGAATACATTCCCAGTCTCAAGATGTCGGCCGACGACTCTGGGTCGGTTTCCTCCGATAACTCGTCGCAGCCGCTCTCGAGGGAGCGAGTCAAGCTTCTCCCTTCTAATAACTCATCCTCCGACTCACCTGCTCGCGACTCATCTTTCAAGTGCTTCTCCGTCTCGGACTTGAAGAAGAAAGTGATGGCTGGGTTGAGTAAGAACAGCGACAGAGAAGGGCACTGGAGGTAATTTTCACTCTTTTATCTTTTTGCTTGATTTTTGTTTACTTGTTGTCATCAGAGTCGAACATGTTCTGTTCTATTGGCATTGAAGTAAATGCAGAGCCAACCTCCATGGAATTTCCAACTAATTCACCCTTAAATATACCCATTTTTTTATATTTTTTAAATTATATGAAATCTCTTACATTATTAAACGTAAGATTATCTCTAATTTTTTATTTTTAAAATGTTATTATTGGTTGACTGTTAAGTACAATATCTTATAAATATAAACTTTGTATAAATTATAGAAATGAATTAATTTTGTGAACCCAACTTCTAAAAAAATGAACAAAAATCTGATTAAAAACTAAAATAAACAATAAGTAAGAGAATCCAAAAATATTTAAAACAAATCTATAATTTAGGGAACCAGCCCTCTTAAATTATGAGACAAGGGTATTTAAGTAATTTCGATGTTTGTTGAATTCTAACGTACTTGGAACTCGATTTTGATGCAGGTACTTAGTTCTAGGCCAAGCATGCTGCCACTTGGGACTAATGGAGGACGCCATGGCACTCCTCCAAGCCCGTAAACGCCTAGCCTCCGCCGCATTCCGCCGTGAAAGCATATGCTGGTCTGACGATAGCTTCTCTCTCCCTACCACCATTAATCCTTCAGAAATCTCCTCAGCCGCTATGTCGCCTCCTCGTAATCCCACATCTCTCTTTGAATTGGAAAAAATTTCCCAGCTTCTTTCATATATCAAATTCCTCATCCGCCGTCGAACTGCTGCCATCGCCGCTTTGGATGCCGGCCTATACTCCGAAGCCATACGCCATTTCTCCAAAATAGTAGAGGGTCGCCACCCTGCCCCTCAGGGCTTCCTTGCAGAGTGTTATATGCATCGAGCCTCCGCTTACAAGGCCTTGGGTCGAATAGCCGAGGCGATCGCCGACTGTAACAAAACGCTTGCTCTGGATCCATCTTGTATCCAAGCGCTCGACACCCGGGCCATGCTTTTGGAAACAATACGATGCCTACCTGATTGTTTACACGACCTCGAACACTTGAAACTTCTTTACAATTCCATCTTGCGAGACAGGAAACTTCCAGGTCCAGTCTGGAAGCCTCACAATGTTCGGTACAGGGAGATCCCGGGGAAGCTTTGTGCATTAACGACTAGGATCCAACGATTGAAGCAAAGGGTTGCCTCTGGGGAGACTGCAAATGTTGATTATTATACATTGATTGGTTTGAGGCATGGGTGCTCAAGGTCTGAACTTGAGAGAGCTCATTTGCTGCTGTGTTTGAGGCACAAGCCGGATAAAGCTACCAACTTTATTGATCGATGTGAGTTCGCCGGCGAGCTCGATCTCGACTCCATTAAAGACAGAGCCAGGATGCCGGCTTTGCTTCTTTACAGATTGCTTCAAAAAGGGTATTCCAGCGTGATGTCTACAATTATGGATGAAGAGGCAGCTGAAAAGAAATGGAAGAAAGCTGCTGGTGCTTTACAACAAGCAAAACACTTGACAATTCAAGTGCCGCTAACCCAAAATCCAAACTCTAAGTTAGAACAGGAAGCCAATCTCGCTTCTTTAACAATTTTTTCAGATGTTTTGGCCGGTAATAGTTCCAATTCAAATGCGTTTCAAGGTGTATTTTGCAGGGATCTTGCTGCAGTTGGGGATTTGCTATCACAAGTTGGGTTTAATCGTCCACTTCCAATGAAGTACGAGGCACTGAGTTGCTGATTGTTATTTAGAAGTCTACCCTACTGTCATATCAATGATTAAAAAGTTACCGGGGATGTTTACCGGCAGATGAATCTCTTTACAAATTTACCTGTTTGTACAAAAAAAAGTAAAATTTGTAACCTGTCGGAAAATTTTGTCATCCCCTTTCTACTTTTACATTTTTATCTACCACGTGTACAGAAAATTTCATTTCTGAATTACTACTTTTGGCTTGGCCTAGAAAGCTATTTTTCCTTTAAAATTCAGTTTAATGGAGATTATTGTTAGGATTTACACTCGATTCTTTGATTTAGCATATGAAGAAAAGCTTTTCTTATATATATTTTATCTGCAGCAGACTGATATGTCTGACATTCCACTATTTCTTTTGTTTGCCAGCTCCACACCGAATGTTCTACTTTCTCCACGAGTGTGGAGACGTGGTCATGGCTTTGAGTGCATCATCGTTGGAAAAATTAATATAATAAAAAGACAATGTGAAGTCAGATAGGTTTCTGCCAAATGTGTAAGAAAACAAAAGCAAATGGGCTTTTGTAAAGGGGTCAAATCATGCTTTTGCGAGGCATGCAGAAAACACTCTTCTCCTCGGTTGCAATCCTCGATGTACATCATTGCGTATGATGGGAGTTGGTGGTAGCAATAAAAGCTGTTTGGCCATTTTTTCACCTTCATAGACTGCAATCATCAAAGTTTTAGAATATCTATGAAACAGATTGAATGGTACTTTCTTTTATTACTACAATTAATATCCTTCTCATATAAAACAAGGAATTATGTATCCCTAGTCGGCCCTTCTAACCTGCTTGACTTCACACACATTTTCATGCCTAGCATTCAAGATGTGACCAATGGGAGATAGGGTTCCGTTCGTTGCAGACTTTCCACAATACTATTACCATCGATCGACGTCATAATATAATTTCATCTGCCTTAGTTGGGCAAATAATCCAAACAAAACAGTTTTGGAGAAATATAAGTATTAAAAATTTAATTTGAGATATATATTATTTATTATAATATTTTTAGAATTCATAGTGTAAAAAAATGAATTTTATAACATATAATAAATATTTTTTTAAAAACAATATATAATAAATAATTGAAGTTTGTCATACTTATATAATGAGTTTTACGTATATTGTAACAGATGAATTATATCTTATAATAAATCTTTAACACCTGTATTTTATAAATTTTGTTTTTCGCTCATGATATTTCTAAATTTTATTGATTTCGACTTTTATGTTGTATTATTTGAAAGTAAGATGAGTGTATAATTTTATGTTATAGATGAAATTTTAAAATTTTAAGAGGATATGAACTTATAAAAATTTAGAATAAGTAAATAAAAAATCAAGAATTTTTTTTAAAACTTAAAATATATAATAATTAAAAATTTTAAGGAACGAATATCCCCCACCCCCTTCAAAATCCATTCATATTTGAAAGCGTGCCGCGTGATATAATTTCTGTCATAAAAAATAACAAAAATATAGAATATCGTCAACTTCAAGGATTAAATTAAGAAATGTTTCTAAGTTGAGGGACTAAATCTTGCTTTTATCTTATTTAAAAATTCTTGACAATTCCACCAACCGCCAACCAGCAACCGGCAGTGAAGAAAGAGGTCGACACTTCAAATATTAAAAGCTGAAAACGAAAAAAAAAGTACCTATTTTTTATTCACTATATTAAATATTCTAGAAGATCGGAGATATGGCTTGGATAACGCAATTCCTAAAGGCGGTGGCTTTCTTAGCTGTCGGGGTAATATTGTCGCCGGAGACTTTCGGATCAAAGTCGGACGGTTCAAATTCTCTCGGTCTCGCCCCTTTCATTAAGCTGGCTCATCTCCTCAGCTTCTCTACCGCCTTTGGCGCCGCCCTTTGGGTCACTTTCATTGGTGGTATCATCATGTTCAAGTACGCTCTTCCATTATCACCTTAATCGCCAAATTAAAAACATTTTCTTCAAGTAATCACGATTTTCTTTTATTAAATGCTTAGGAATCTGCCGAGGCATCTATTTGGTAATCTTCAAAGCAAGATGTTCCCGGCTTATTTCTCGATGGTCGGGGTTTGTTGTTCCATATTGGTGGCGGCGTTTGGTTATTTGCACCCGTGGAAGTCAGCGACGCCGCCGGAGAAGTACCAGCTTGGGTTTTTAGTCTCTGCGTTTGCTTTCAATCTCTCTAATTTGTTCGTTTTTACTCCCATGACCATTGAGGTAATTTTGTTTTTATCTATTGCTTGTCGATCATAGAAATTTGGATTCCGATAATAAAAATTGTCTAAAGTTTCAATTTCATTTCTAGGGTTCAGCTGGTTGGCAAAAGAAAGGGTACAATAAAATCTGAATTTTCTTGTCTAAAATGTTTAAAGTCTTTTACTTTTATGAGAACTTAGAATTATCTTACTGCTTTTGAGAACGTTTGTATAAGATTTTGTTGAGTGGATGTTTGTGTTGAATGCTTAAAAGTTGATGGCGTTGGTTTTCTCTGCGTTCTATTAGGAACCTCGAATACATAACTCGGTTCATTTTAAGGTCATTTAATTGCTGCATTCACGAACATAGCTTTTTCTTTTCCATCTTGGTTTACTTGTTGACTTGCTGAATTGCAGTTGCATATGCGCAAAGCCTTTGTGATATGAATATGTATGATAATGCAGATGATGAAGCAAAGACACAAAGTGGAGAGAGAAGCCAACGTTGGTGATGAAATTGGATGGTCGAAGAATCAGGAAGCCGCGAAGACTAACCCAAAGCTTGCAGCAATGAACAAGAAATTTGGAATGATCCATGGGTTATCTTCCCTTGCCAATATAATTTCCTTTGGCAGCCTTGCTATGCACTCATGGTACTTAGCCGGTAAGCTCAATCTGTAGTTTACAGGTTATTTAGACATAGAACTGCGTTCTGGCTATAGATTGAAGTGATGACTTGTACTTCATGTGTCCTCTGGGATAGACTGTTCCAGTTATTCCTGCTAGATTGTGTACAATTGAACCATAAGTTAATAAAGTGAATTTTGTCTTATTTGTTCACTTTGAAATAAATTAACAAAGTGGGATGGTGAAATTAGACTTTTGTGACTGAATTTGAGTACATGACTTTAAAATTCCTTATTTGTATAGTTTGCATGGCAGCTGAACATTAAAAATTGCTTGATATATTTTTTTCTTTCAAGTTGATTGTTAGTTTTTCGAGTCAGATATCAAGTATCTCACTTCGACTCGTTAAGAACTCGAGTCAAGTCTTTTCAAATAGATTTTTTATCTATCTTTGACCAAGTCAAACTCGAGTAACTTGCAATCTGTCTCGTCTCATTTACAATGAACCAACCTATTCCGACTATATCCCATCTAATAGGTTTGGTTGGGATGGGACTAGCAGATTATGGGGAATTGGCATGGGTTGGCCCAAAAGAAAGTAGTACGGCTAATAGTGCTAAATCCGTTTCAGAGGAATAAAAAGAGAACCAACTCACCTGCCTGCACCGTGTTGACCCTGATTGTGGGTTTCAACTTTCAAGAAAATCCATTGTCCTCTACTAAATGGGTTTAGAGTCGGGTAATAATGTTAGACCAATCCTAACCCCACTGAGTCTCCCTATCCCTTAAGGCAAGGCAACAGGCCGGTCCCTACCTGTCTCTCTCCCTGGGATATAGCACTAGATTTGAATATAATTTTTCTAAGGAAGAAATTGAATCAAGTGGTTTAGTTAATTACGTGAGTTTTTTCTTATAATGGATATCCTAATTGCTTTATCGTGTACGCTATTTTCAACCGTAGTACTTGTCAAATGCCCATGTGTCCCTTCAACCTACCTTGCCAATCTTCGGTGACATTCATAATTTTGTCGGCTCTTGCCAAAATGGTCCACGTCACCATTTATTTGATTGGGGAAAACCCATATAAATTGGTTGTAGAAAATTCGTAACCCGAAGCAAAGCAACTACCAGATACCGATGGAAGTCTACACGTAAAAGCGGGTGCAACGCGCAGTGCAGTGTTGTGGTGGGAGATTCAGGCGAAGCCTGGGAGTGCTGATCCATCCATATTAAGCAGCCCGACCTTACCTTGTTGGATGGATAGGCTCAAGGAGCACATCCATTTTGGAACTCCTATTTTGTTTGTAGATGGAACCACGTTTTTCCATGCAGCGACATGTTTTTGGTCGTGGGCTTTGTCGATTTCTTAGGATCTGGGTGGGAAAGGTTGAATATGTCTTTGCTAGATATGCATTTCACTTCCATTTTATCTAAAATTATTCATTTCTTCAGATTAAGCCAACGGAATCCATTGATTTGATTGATTACAGCAAATTGCGCATCTTTCGAGAGAGATTGACCGTATGTTTGCTATGAGTCAACCACTGAAATTATAACAGACATTCATCGATGCTTTATTTAAATATGTTCCACTGAAAAATCCACTGTTTAAACATCATTGGCCATGATGTTCTGTAGGTCTAGACCGGTATCTTAATTTCGGCGATATGTCAAGCAATGGCGGCACAAAAGCCATCACCTGACCACCATTTTCGTGACACCAGTCGTGTAAAAATCGTTGGCTTTTGGCAAATATTATAGTGGAAAAATCAAGGTTAAGTTTTCTAAGATGATGCCACCGTACTATTAACTGAAAGTGTATAAAAATATATCTTATTTTCATTTCCTACCATTAATAAACAAATGTTCTATCTCAATAAACCTATTCGACACCCCCTCGTGATTCAAAGAAGAAAGAAAAAGAATGAATGTTTTCCTTTCCTAAATCAATGAATAAAGAATCTGCATGCCATATGCCTCCCACCTGTATAAACTTCCTAGGAGGTAACAATAGATGACCTACCAAATATGGATCAGCGAAGACTGATCAGACAGTATGCACCAACGAGAAACAACTTAGCAGGAAATAAAAGAACCACAAGCAAGTGCATGTGCTGTGATGCAACAAACCTAGTAAACCGTTTCAAGGATTCTCTCCCCGTATGTAAAACACCGGCAAAGTTGAATAGTTTTTGCCATACGTTGATTGTGGCTCTAGACCTGCCAAGAATGATACCGACACCATTTATTTCACGGGGCAATACGAGTGGCCACCAGACCTTGCGCCGCTGCTCCCTCCTCATCTTCCTCGTGCGTTTTAGCTCTTGACGGATCACGCCTCGAACACATTTCAAGTAAGAATTCATGTCATGGTCCCTTTGGATTGTTCCTTCAGAACCATATGCAGAACGGTCACTTAAGATCTCAAGTGGATGTGGAGAGTTAAAGAAGACCCTCTGTGCAGCCCATAGTAGCTTTTCTTCACCATCAGTATCTGACAACTGGCAGCTCAGGCAATATAGACCAATTCCTGAAGGAAGGAGATGATGATGTGGAGAGAATTTCTCAGCCGGTTGTAATATCATAATTTGCCCCATTGGTGCATACAATAGCTTCTGTAGTTCCATGAAAGAAAAAGAGTTAGCTCCATGTTCTATTGTAGTTGCATACAGATTTTTAATAATTCAGAAACATTACATGATTTTCAAGACAAGGAAGGTGGCGAAATTTTCCATTGATAGCCTTTAAAAGATCCGCAACGTGATTAGGATAATTGCAAGAGAAAGCTCGGGGGACAATGTCTCTGTGCATTGTGATTGCCTGAACGTGACTCTGTGGCAACCCGAGTTTGTGAAGAAGACCATCACCACCACACATGATGCTTGGAGATCCAAATGTCACCACAGGAAGTAAGGAAGAAGCCGGTACTTCACCTCTTATAAGCAACATGAGATTTATTAATAGCGACAAGCTGCCACCAAGGGAGTGCCCAGTGAAGCGGAAAGCTGCACGCTTGCCATGTGATTTTAGGAGGGAACGCACTTGAGGCAACATTTGTTCATACATGCCTTTAGCAACCTCATATATACCTCTATGCACAAGAACATCGAATCCCTAAACCAAGAAAAAATTACTGCAATCATCAGTAAGAAGGAAATAAAGTACATTTTACTCATTCCTCAGTTCTTCACTTGCATACCCAAAGCAGAGGTTGAAAATTCCTGTTTCTATTATCATAAAAGATTTGAGGATATTGAAATATGATGCAATTTCTACAAGCATCTTACAGAATTAAGAATCAAAACAAAGATTCCCAAGCAGCATATCAACATATTTGTCAAGAAATTACCTCAAACTGAACAGGCTCAAAAAGCAGATTTGCCTGCCAAGATGCCAGTGACTCAGATCCCTATAGATACACAACATAGTTTGAGTGTAACCAAATCCAAAAGATGAAGGGCAATAAAAATAAGTTGGATCTTGTAGTTAAAAAATAGTTATGTTACCAACCTGAATTACAAAGAACCTTGTAGCACTCTGATCATCATCGCATATAAACCACTCGCAAGGTGATGAATGTGTTGAGTTCAAATCATCAGCAACAGCTTGCTTCACTTCTTCTTTAGCAGCAACCACGGCAGTCACAGAGTCTGTGGTTGCCATTAAAGAAGCCACGTCAGAGTTTATCACATCAGAACTGCCGTCACTTCCGCTTCCATCTTTAGATGAACCCTCGCTGTTTTCAGGATTTGAGGATTTGATAGGCAGTATGGTCATCGTATGGGAATGCAAATAAGCAGCAGCAGAGGCAGCTATCTGATATGCAGCAGAGGAACTGATCCGGGGGCCAAGATTTTTCTTCTCTTGGCCTTCTGCATTATCCTTTTCATTACTTTTTGACTCTTGATCTTCAGAAGACAAACCAATTTTCTCATTATTTTTCTTGGCTTTCATTCCCAGTTCTCTCTTCTCTATCGATGAAGTAACCATTCGTAAACCACGGAATTTTAGAAGATTTTGAGGCTGAATTTTATCCAAATAGGTAAATTGAGAAAACAAAAACATGTTATTTCTTCATAGAGATAGTAGGACTATATGCGTGTGTTTGTGAGCCAGGTTAAAATTTACAGAGAAATAATTATTTCGCCAATAAAGGATATCAAGCAGACGCCCATTAAAGATAAAAAGCCATTATCTTCGAAGAAATAAATTTTGGACAGCTTGATCGACAAAAAAACACAAACCCAAGGTGCAACCATTGATCTAAAACCCTACTACAAACATACTGCTAAATGAACCATCACAAATTCACAATTAAATTGGAACCTAAACAATCAAGGCTCCATTTTGCACACTTTCGATTTCTATCTCAAGAAACCAAATTGGCTGACAATGTACAGAGGAAGGCTTCATCTAGATCGAAAGTTTCAAAACAAAAACAAATTCACAGCACCTGAGCTCGGCCTTAATAGAAAGTTAATAGAACTTTCACAAAGCTATAGATGATTAAATATTTCCAGTTTGGGTACAACTTATTATAGACTCGGGTCTTAGAAACCCAGAAACCGATCTTTAACTCTGCCCATTGGCAGAAACAATGAAATAAAACATCTCCATCATTTATAAATGAACATATAAGATATGAAGGAAAATTAAGAAGAAAAAAAACAACTAACATGGATTGTTACCTTAATATTTTGAATGTCGTAAGCCAAGTTTCCAAGGTACGACAATTGAGCGTACAACTTAGCCTCAGCCAAAGACACCCTTAGTAGCATCTTGGAAAAGGAATCTTTATCAATTTCAATCTCCTTGTTTCCATTTTCATCATCGTCGGCAACAACTCTACAGAATTCACACATTTCTTCATCCCCATTGACGACATCGTTTCCATTGTTTTCTTCTTCGGTCTCCTCCTCTTCTTCTTCCTCGCTTTCTTTCCACAAAGACTTGACGTGCAAAATCTTCAAAACCCAATTCTCATTCCGCCCGTCCACTGTCGCCACACCATCCACGTCCTCCTCCGGTACTTTCCTAGCCTCCCCGTGATTATTCTCCACCAAAACGGCATCGTCAACTGCCATCCCGTTGTACCTCTTGCTATTCCCATCTCCACCACCAGGCCACAAAGATATCAACGGGTACCGAAACGAGAACCTGGAAAAAGCCGTCTTCTGCGAAGGAACCGAAGAGGACGTCGATGCCGATCTATGATCCACCGAAGACAGAACCCCTGCACTCACTTGAGTCGTGTGAGCCCTACATTCCAGTGGCCCAGTCACGGAGATCGCCGGCGCCATTCCATGAATCCCCGGTTTCGAACAAAGCCCATCCATCCTCGTTCCCGGGTTGCAAACTTACAGAGCAATAACACCGAGCTGGAAACTCAGGAAACAAGCAAGGTGACTTAAAAAAAACTTTTGAATTAACTACAATTTTTTTCGCCTCTCTTTCGTTGTTTGTTCTACCAGTTTTATCAATAATAATAGAAAACAGAAGGGGCAAGAAAGGTCGAGGAAAAATCACAAGTTGTATTCGTATCCAACTCCAAATGCCTAATTGCTTGGTTTTCCTTTGAAAATCTCTGTTTTATAATCATTTAAGCAGGAGGTTGAAACGACGGCGTTTGATTGTAGTTTCGTGCCGTGTTTGTTGTCCGACTGGAACTGGGAGGTTCCGAGACCAAGAGTGTCTGTGTGTGGGAATAATATCTGTCACGTCAGAGGGATGAAGTATAAACTTGAAAAACTAACACGATGACGTGTCCGTAAAGTTAGATCTGTACGACTCTACAGAATAACACGTTTCCAGCGTACGACACCTGTCTCTCTATTAGTATTTCATTTTATTTGAGGAAGGCTTTCACTTGTTGATTGAAAAAGGAAAATCTGAGTTTTCATTTTCTTTAAATGCTTAAATATAAAACAAGGATTCAAACTAGTGCGTTTTTATGAATAAATGTTTAAATTACTTAGTAATCTTATTATCTAATGTTACAAACGTTATTATTTTAGATATTTCGACATCAACTGCGTTAGTTGTTTTATTCTAGGGGTTAGATAATTGGGGATTGTCTCAGGAAAGGCGGGTTAATATACGGTTAATATACGGCGTTACCGGATACATTAAAAGATATTTAATAAATTTGGTTTAGCGCTACCGAAAATGTTGACTAATAATAATGTAGTAGGTCTAAGTCATGAAGAAATATTAAAAAATTGTGCAACCGGCAAACTTAACTTGTCAGTTCGTGTCGATCCAAAACGATATAATAGGTAAAACTATAACAAAACCGGTATTGAAATGATAAAACCGGTAAAGCGCTACATGATACATTTAAAGTGTCGGTACTTTAATATAAGGATCGACACTTCGTGAATTTAAAAGAGAAGCAGTTTTAAATCCTATAAAATGTCGATACTTTTAAAAAATGTATCGATCCAAAACGATATACCAGGTAAAAATATGATAAAACCGGTAACAAAATGATAAAATCGGTAAAACGTTACCGGATATATTGAAAGTGTCGATACTTTATATAAGGATCGACACTTTGTGAATTTAAAAGAGAATCAGTTTTAGCGCCTATAATGTGTCGATACTTTAAAAAAATATATCGATCCATAACGATATAACAGGTAAAAATATGATAAAACCGGTATCAAAATGATAAAACCGGTAAAATGATACCGGATATATTGAAAGTGACGATACTTTCGTAAGTACGTGTAATAAATTATCGACACTTTCAAAGAAATAGGTAATTATCCTTTCGAAAGTATCGACACCTGACATAAAAGTATCGACACTTTTGTATTTGTATCGATTAAATATAAATAACATATCCGATGAAAATATAAAGGCCATATCTAAATATCCTCTGAAAATCGATAGAACGGACGAGTTTTTGAAATCGAAGCGTAATTGTTGTTGCATTTCAGAAGGCGTTTCTAAAGCGAAGTCTGTTTGTTGTTGATGCAGTCGAATCGAAAAGTATGTTGTCGAAACCCTAGTTTTTTATTATTACAGTAATCGCGAATAGGGTTTTTATGTATTGTTTGGGGTTTTAGAGTAAAGAAGCATTTGGGACCGATTGCAAGTAGAAAGTGATATTGAAGGTAAAATATAAATGTCGATACTTTTATTAAATATTATAGGTAGAAAATGATATTATAGGTTGTATAAATGTGCCGACACATTTTGGTGTGGCCATTCAAATTCTTTTGAAGAAAACCGTTTTACCACAAGAGTAGTTATCTATATTTGTATATTGAATAAAGTGTATGTAACAAAATAATTTGATTTGCGTAAACTGATATATGAAGGAAAAATGGAGTCAATGGGTTGGAAAATTGTTGGTGGCGCAGATGACTTTGAAATTGAAGCCGAGATTCGAAAGCAACCAAAGGGTGGATATATGTACTTCTAGTAAGTATCAATGTCTTTTTGTTATTATTGTTGAAATGGTAATTGGATTAAAGTATCGATAAAACTTTAAATTGATTACAAATTTTAAATGTTGACAGTATGGCCGAATGCAAAAGGATGAAGGAAGATGGCACACAAAGCGGTTCGATATGTAAAATGAAATTGGCATTGAGTAGTATTTAGTGTTAATGTATTGATTAAGAAACGTTTATATTTAATTTTAGGTGACAAAAGATGTGAGGTCCAAATGGAATTCAATGAGTGATGTTGAAAAGGAACCTTACATCACACAGTCAATGAATGATAGTAAAGAATACAAAGAACGGAGGAAAGCACATGAAAATAAGGTATTCATTAAACTTGTAAATACGTTGATACAAAATATATAAGAACTATAACATTATATATTGTTAAAAAATGTAGGAAGTGTCGACAAGATGCAACATTAAAAGGGTGAATTCATTAATTAAACACCTTAAGGAGAAGGGTCAGTTGAATGTGCTGGGGGAGAAATAGGTTTTGGATCGTTGGTAGGAGTAAGGGATCGACCTATTCGGAGGGAATTGTGTCGATCCTTGATGGCGCAATTTGATGTCAGACAATGTATTGCTAAGTATGGTGATTTTTCATTTCCTCTCGGGATCCCATGTGCTGCAGCCGTATTGGGGGTAGAAAATGAAGGCAAAAGTGTTGTAGAAGTCTGTAAGAGTAAGGACTGGAAAGCACTTGCCTCCAAATATGGTTTGAAGCAGAAGGTGACATATGCTGAAATTGAAGAGGAAATAAAAAGTGGATCTTACGTTGGGGATGAGCTGAAGGCCAGAGTTCTATTATACCTTGTCGGTATCTTTCTTTGTCCAACGGGTTATACGTCAACGAACAAGGAACATATGAAGCTCATTTACGATGAAGGCTTAAAAGGTGAATTCAATTGGGCTGAATATATCCATTCGAGATTGATTGAATCAATAATCACCTTTAAAAAGGGCAGCCAGAGATACCTCAAAGGGTGCATAGCAATCTTAGAGGTAAATGAGTTGAAGAACTTTTTTGTGTTTTTATATAAAAATATAAATTTTATTATAAATGCAGGTTGCACTGTTCGATTTTTGGTCGGGCTGTGAGGTAGTGCCGGCTTATGAAAGAACTGGAGTGGCACGCATCCGTGCATGGGGGAAGGAAGAGGTGGTTAGAGTGATGGTGAAGTTGAAGTTGGATAGAGCGAAGAAGCAAGAAAAGGTAATAAATGTAATTAAATAATATTAATAATATAATCAATGTCTTAATATTGTAATTTAATTTTGAAGGTTATTGGCAAGGATGTAGAGGAGGCAGAGGAGAAGAAAGGAGAGATGGTTTTATTGGGGGATGACGGTGAGTAGGACGACGGTGAGGGAAAACATAGTAACTTCGACATTTTGATGTCTGAATTGGCTGATATCAAAAAAATCCAATTTGATATCATGCAAAGACAATCAAGAGTCGAAGAGAAACTTGATAGAGTCGAAGAGAAACTTGAGAGAGTCGAAGATACACTTGAGAGGCATAAGGGGGTAGTGGAAGGAAAAATAGATGGAGTGGTGAAAGAAGTAGAGGTGTTCAGGGGTGAAGTGGTGAAAGAAGTTGAGGTGTTAAGGGGTGATATTAAGATGGTGACGGGTGAAAAATTTGTGGGAGTGGTGAAGGAGGTTGTGGAATTGAGGAGTGAACTTACGGGGGTGAAGGGGGTGGTTGATAAATACTTGGATGAAGGAGATCAATTGAAGGGTGAAATAAAAGAGATGAGCTATGTAGAAAAAAATACGATGAACTGAAAAAATATGAAGAAGAAAAGAGGGAGGAGGAAGAAGAAGAGATGAAAGAAATGAGGAGGAAAGAAGTCAATGTCATTTATACACCGAAGAGTGTTATAGCAGCAGATTTGGATTCGGAATGTCCTGCACCCCAGAAGAAGAAGCAGAAGGTAAGTTGAATAAAAGAAAACTTAATTTGATTTTTATTATGTTGTTGTGACAAAAATTTGTATGCAAAATTGTAGGTTGAAAAAACGAATATTCCAAGCGGAATTGATGACATCGAAGCTGCAATTTGTGATTATTTATGGAATAGTGAGTTAGAATCGGAGTAAGTGAAATATATTGCTTTGTGAGTTATATTTAAATATTTCATGACAACATATTAATCCTAATGATTCATACAGATATTCTGTAATCTCAATGGGAAATCAATTCGCTAGTGTATACGACGTTGCAACGTTGAAGCATACGGAATGAGTTGGCGGTGTGGTAAGTAGAAAGTAGAAAATGTTAAAACTTATTGAATATGTTCTGATTGTGTAATTAAGGTGTGAAATTTGTTGCAGATCATGATCACAATAAACTACCATAATTCACATTGGTATCTGTTGGTGTTGGATATGGTAGATCGTGTTGCAACAATATATGATAGTATGTTTACAACTGAAGCAGCTAAACAGAGAGTGAAGGATGCTAGAGATTGGTATGTATATGTATGAAAGGACATTATGTAAATTTAATGCATAATTTTTTGGATCATAACTTCTTCTATTTTAATGCAGATTAAAATATTAGATTTTATAATAAGAAACACATTTGGGTTGAATCCTGTGGATCTCTAGGAAAGTATCCTTGAAAAATTTCAAATTTGTGGAGCATAAGAAGAATAAGCAATTGAATGGGTATGAGATGTTATCACAAATAGAAAGCTTAATTTATGCAGTATTATCATAATTGACATGTGTGGTTATGTAAATTATAATGCATAATTTTTTTGGATCATAACTTCTTCTATTTTAATGCAGATTAAAATATTAGATTTTTATAATAAGAAACACATTTGGGTTGAATCCTGTGGATCTCTAGGAAAGTATCCCTTGAAAAATTTCAAATTTGTGGAGCATAAGAAGAATAAGCAATTGAATGGGTATGAGATG